AATGCTATTCGTAAACATCAAAACCCGCGAATATTTACTGAATAGCCATGATGGATATTCAAAGGATCCAACCTCTATCAGAGTGATGGCGCAAGAATTTGCGGTCCCGTGACTAATTCAATAACAATGATATCCAAATTTTCGTCTAAAAATTAATGTTTTAATACAAAGTAGAAAGAATATATTTAAATTTTTTGTGCTGAAAACTTTTACATAATAACAAGACCAATTTCCCTTGCAAATTTATGAGTTTTTTGCGATTTCTGTTTTTTTTTTTCGCCTTTATTTTTTTTACTTCTCATTTGTATATTACTTACAATCAGATTGAATAAAAATCACGGGACCGCCAAATTTGCGCCATCACTATTTCACTCGATATCAGATACAGTATAATATAAATGATTTAAAAAACTATGCGATTTAGTATGATTTGTAGTTCGACTCTAAAGGGGTACGTAAAAAATGGCAAATCTTATAATAAACAAAATCGAAAATTCATGTTTTTTTTATATTACAGGAATCTAGCTTGCCTATATATATATATTATATAAATCTTTCTTTGACTTCTAATAAAAGTTGTAGAACTAATATTTCTGATTTTAATAGTGGTAAAATCATTAAAATCGGTTAGATAGATCACGAGATATGAATATTTTGATTTTTTACTATAGGTTTTTTTTTCTTAAGCCACCTCTATATAAGGCAAGTAATAAAACTACGCAGATTTTTAATATGAAGTTTATACCCATCAGATGCGGACTACCCTTAACTTTTTTTTAACATTTGTGCATACTACTTTCTTTCGCTTTAACTCTGTTCCATAAAATGGCTATAGAGCTCTTTAAAAAACTTTCTAGTGATTTAACCAACCTTCTTGAAAACGGTGAAGATTATAACGTAATAATTGAAGTCGGTCAAATGCCAAACTGTCAAAATTTTAAGGCACATTCAATTATTTTGAATTTTCGATGTTCTTATTTTCGTGAAGAATTAACAAAGAGAAGTTACGACAAGGAGAATATTAAAAAAATTTGTATTCCACATATTTCTACTAATGTTTTTGAAATTATTATTAAGTAAGCTTTCATTAATAACTTTCAAATCATGTTTTAAATTTATGTTAATTATATATGATTTTAATTATATTCTTTAAATTATATAGATATATTTATGGTGGTATAGCTCCGTTTGATAAAGTCAATGCATCTACAATTCTTGATCTTTTAACTACTGCTAGTAAATTTGGTCTTGAAGAATTAGTTAATACTGCGCAATCACAGTTGGTTAAGAATCATGCGTCGTGGATACGTCTGAATTTTGCTAAAATTTCCAAGATATGTTTTGAATCTGATGATTTTAAGATTTTACAAGAGTTTTGTAATGATATTATTGCCAAGAATCCAAGTATAGTTTTTAATTCAGAAGACTTCGAGAATCTTTCTGAAAAAGCTCTGATTTCTCTTCTGAAACTTGACAATTTACAAATGGATGAAGGAAAAATCTGGGATCAAGTTATTAGTTGGGGAATTGCTCAAAACCCTGATCTAGATTCGAATCATGCACAATGGTCTGATGCAAATTTCTCAACCTTGAAAACTACTCTCAAAAATTGTCTACTTCATATCCGATATTTTCAAATTACCGGCGAAGATGTTATTAAAAAGTCATATCCGTATCAACAAATCATTGATCCTAATTTGTGGAAAGATATTATGACAAAATTTGCAGTTCCAGATTTGCCTATTTCTTCGCCTATTTTGCCTCCTCGAATAATCTCAAATACCGATTTGCCACAAAGAAATACTGTACTTTCAAGTGGTAATACATGTTTATTTTTAGTAATTCACTACGATTTTACTGTATTAGTATATAATTATAATATGTTTCTTTTTTTAAAGCATTTGAAAGTTGATATGATTCAATTTATTTGTTAATTTTCTATTATTTCCTTGGTATTCGTCTTGGTACATATCCAGGTAGACATCCAGTCAGTGTAAAAGCAATTCGCACCAAACAAAAAGAAGTATGGGTGGAAGAGATCACTAGTGGTAAGTCCCCGAAATTTGGAGAAAACCCCGATTCCATTTACTATTAAATTATAATTTTAATATTTTTATTCTTTATATAAATTTTTAACACTTTTACTAAAACGCACCTATGGTGTTTTTGCACCATAGGTCCCATTTCTCAAAAACGTACTAAGTAAACGGGATCGGGTCCTCTAAGTAAAAATGTTCAGGACCCCCAAAAACCCCACGAGAACTGAGATCGGGCCCTATCAGGCCCTTATATTAGCTCTATAACATATTATATAAAAAAAAATAATTCTTAATTTCCTAACCCTAACCCTAAATTTTATTAAAAGAAATTATACATAGGTGCTAAAACACCATAGGTGCATTTTATAATAATTGATTTTTAATATATTATTTTAAATTGTTAATTTATAATTTCTATAATTTACTGAATAATCTTAACAAACAATTGGATACATGCGATGATGATGATAATTTTATTCAACCGAATTACAATGGGTTTAATTCCAATGGGGTTTGATCTTTTTGATTAAGTATCCTTATCACATTAGCCACTTCAAAAATTATGCAGAATATAATATAGGAGGCACTTTCAGTAAAGTTTTTAGCCACATCATGCAATTACATAATACATACAAGCGACTTATCTACGAAGTTTTACTTCGTGTGGCATAACTAATCAATTTTTTTAATTCAAAAATTTATAAAAACAAGCTATTTACTATAAATTTTATTAAACTTTTTAGAATGATTATAAAAGCATTCGGTATTAGTGTTGTAGGTGGACATCTACAAATTTAAATCAAGATAATTCTGAATCTACCAAATAGTCTGATGACTTATGAATTGAATAATTTAAAAATAAAAAATATATCAACGTTTCAACGTTGTTGACACTCTACTATTTGGGAGTTCCGGTCACTAATTATTTTATAAGCAGGACGGTTATATTAAAAATACCTGCGAAGCAGGTATTTTTATTATAACCGTCCTTTGTTAAATTAGTGACCGGAATTGACAAAAAAAAAAAAAAGGTGGTTTTTTTCAAAGAAAAAGGGTGAAAGAGAGGGAGGGACGAAGGGTGGGTGGGAGAGAATGTGGGGAAGTGGAAGAGGGACGGAGAGAGTGGGGAGGTGGGTGTGAGAGTTGGGAAGTGGGTGTGGAGTGGGGAAGTGAAAAAATAGCGAAGAGGGTAAAAAAGCAAAGAAACTTAGAAAGAAGAGAACGAAGAGGTGAATTGAAACTCCGATGAAGTCATGTGACTTCGGATTTCGCATTCCTGCGAAATTGAAGGAGTTTCAAACTCCGCCGAAATGGAGTTTGAAACTCTGATCAAATGACGAAGTCACGTGACTTATGGGAATTCGAATTCCCATGAAAATGGTCGGTGACCCGAAATCGGGGTCACGTGACCACGTACGTGATACGTATCGTTATACGTATTTAAAAAAAATAATTAATTATAATTAATTAATTAATTAATAATTAATTAATTAAAAAATATAAAAATAGATAAAATCGGCGTAACGTTACGAATCGGCGTAACGTAACGTATCGGCATAATGTACCGAAATTGGCGTAACGTACCGAAATTCGTGTAACCTATGGATACGTTTTGTATCAAACCTTCGGCAAAAATGTTTTTTAAATGTTTTTTAATCTTTTTTCTTAAAAAAAAAA